TATATGTACACACACATACATATCCGTATATGTACACACACACACATACATATCCGTATATGTACACACACACATACATATCCGTATATGTACACACACACATACATATCCATATATGTACACACACATACATATCCGTATATGTACACACACACATACATATCCATATATGTACACACACATACATATCCGTATATGTACACACACACATACATATCCATATATGTACACACACATACATATCCGTATATGTACACACACACATACATATCTGTATATGTACACATACATACATATCCGTATATGTACACACACACATACATATCTGTATATGTACACATACATACATATCCGTATATGTACACACACACATACATATCCGTATATGTACACACACATACATATCCATATATGCACACACATACATATCCATATATGCACACACACATACATATCCATATATACACACACATACATATCCGTATATGTACACACACAGATAGCGAGAGCGTGCTCTCCCTTCTCAGAGGGAGTACTGTGGGCGGCTCGGAGTAGAGGCGGGCAGTGCTGACAGTAGACACGGGTGGGCGCCGAGAGCTCAGGTGACTGCAGTAGGCACAGGTGGGCGCCGAGAGCTCAGGTGACTGCAGTAGGCACAGGTGGGCGCTGAGAGCTCAGGTGACTGCAGTAGGCACAGGTGGGCACCGAGAGCTCAGGTGACTGCAGCTTTGCTTTTCTCCAAATAATGTCGCACCTCGGACTCTACGTCATGTGGGCCGGGACATGTGACCAGCCCTCCCTGTCGGTATTGCAGGTGAAAGGGAGCTTTGCCCTGCCCTTTCTGGGAGGAGAAGGCCTTGTGTGGCCGCCGTCCTGGAGACTGACTCGCACTTCCCCTCTCACTGCCTCTCTGTCTCTCCAGGTAGTGCAGATACCCGATGGCCAAAACCTTCAGACAAGGAGAATGAGAACATTAGCTCTGAAAGTAGCGCCTTGACCAGAAGGTCCTGGGAAGGTCCCCCAGCCCTTGCCCTCAGGCCTTGTCAAGTCCTGCTTAGTCCAGCGTTCAACTTCTAGACTTGGGGTGCTCAGGAAACGGGCACGCCTGGTGTGAGTGCAGGAGGGCGTGCACTGCAGCCCTCGACAGGGCTCTCAGAGGTCCTCCAGACTTTCAGCCGGGCAGTTACTTTCCTGAGGACCTGGCTTAGTTTTACCTGGTGAGAGCTGACAACCATTTGAGTTTCCCTTTGTACGTGGGCTACTAGAAGGCTGATTCAGCTTTGGGATATGAGGGCACTTCAGAAGTTTATGGGTAGATAGAGTTACAGTGTGAGTTTTGTTGTTTAAAAATGTGGTGATGATGCCTATTTTGTCACAGTACACATTTCCATGCACTTTTTAAAGACCCCGTATGTGTCCAGCTTGGCAGGCCTGGCCCTGTGGCCTAGTGGTTGAGGGAGCTGGATCCCATGTGCCCGACTATAATTCGAGTTCCAGCCCCAGTGGCATGGAAAACACAGAGGCATGTGTGTGCATATCTGAAACGCCGATGGGATGAAGAAATGGAGGGACTGAGCCATGACCATGCCCCCGGGGGTGCGCTCCCCTCCCTCCCTCTCTGTCCCACCGCAGCTCTTTCTCTGGCAAGCACACATGCCCTCTGACAAAAAATAAAACAATAACCCCAGCTGTACAAAATGGGTAGATCTGCTTTGGCACCGAAGAATGTTACAGGTTTCTACTAGAGTGGTTTTATCAGAAGCCAAGGCCGCCCTGGGCGCTCTCCCCACCGAGTCTGTCGTGGGCCCTGGGAACACCTTGGGCGCTCTCCCCAGTGAGCCCATGGAGGGTCCTGGGAACGCCCTGGGCGCTCTCCCCAGGACCCCCCAAGGTAGCTGCTCACGTGGGCCGGCTGTGCTTGCTCACTCTCACTGCTCTTGAGAAGATGCTGATGAGTGAAAGTCTCTACCTTATCACTCATGATGTTCTTGTGTTCTCAAACTCCATAGTGGAAAAAGGAAGTGAGTATAGGGTTTAGTTCGTTATGACTTCGAATACAGAGACGTCTTCTCGGGGGACACTGGGCTTTATTCCTTGCAGGTCTATTTGATGTTTGTGTTCAATAGTCTTAAAACATAATCTTTCTTTTTTCCCTAGGTGAATGTTGGATGTGTACCCAAAAAGGTAGAATTTTTATTTCTTCTTCTCTTCACACTCTTTTTTCTATTTGTTAAATTATGATCAGAGTAAGGATGCTTCCAAATTTTAATGGCAGTTGAAATTCTCTCTGCAAAAAATAACTGAGAACCCAACTAAAAATGGCTCAATCAATGGGATGACTCTGTTACTTTGTAATTGCTTCAGCCAATGGGATGACTCTGTTACTTTGTAATTGCTTCAGCCAATGGGATGACTCTGTTACTTTGTAACTGTTAGTCATTTCTTAAGAACCTGGAGACAGGCGACTCCCGAGGCTGGCTGTGTCTGAAGGACCCTGACCTCTGCCACCTTCGCACTCTGCCCTGTGGGGGTGTAATGGGCAGGTACCCTCCTCGGGGACCCAGACAGCCACAGCCTGTCTGTGTGTAGATGCCTCTGTCCTGGGCCTGCAGGAGGGACAGGACAGGCAAGGCGTGTTCAGCTGGCAGCATTGCCACTGGGGAGATGAGCACGCTAGCTGCAGTGCACGTGCAGGAGGAAGTCACTGTGTGCTAAGTCTGAGGACAGGGAACTAGCAGTTGGCGTAATGGCTATGTCGCTGGACTCCCATGTAGTCGACCGCGGTTTGCGTCCCAGACCCAGTGGCTTAAAACTCACGCCAGGCGCATGTGCGTGCATGCCCAAGATCCCGCGAGGAGAATGGAGGAGAAGGGATTGTGGCGTGACCATCCCCCCGGGGGGTGATTTCTCACTTTCTGTCTCTATGTCTCTCTCTGTCTGTCTGGCGAGTGCATGCGCCCTATAGCGAAAATCTCTCCCCCCAAAAATAAAAAAAAATCTGAGGACGGAGTTCCTGTGATGGCTCTGAGGAGGCGACCCTACACGCAGCACAGTGGCCTCACACTGCTGGTGGTCTGCGAGGAACAAAGACTGCCAACTCTGTGGTCATGGGGTGAAGGCAAGCAATGTATGTCTGCCCAGGACAACCTTTTCCCCATGGAGAAACTCAGCCAGGATGTCCACAAGCTCCTGCCTGGCCCTCAGTGGTGCCCACGGACACTGGGCAGGTGGGTGCATCCTGCCGCGCCTGGCCGGCTACTGGGCCCTGAGAGGCGGCCTGGCGAGCCCTGTCTTCCGGCTCTCAGGAGCCCTGGGTCAGTTCTTCCTGGAGAGACTGTGCTCCTGGAAAGACGACGTGGGTTTGCGCATGGTTTGTTTTGTTGGTTATTTTTTCATTTTAATCACAGAAATATGTTTCCCTATTCGTTATCCTTTTTACAGGGCGTCTGCACTTACTAGAGAAACGGAGGGAGAGAGAAATAGAAAATGAGGAGGCATCCCCGGGGGGGATGGCCATGCCACAGTTCTCCTCCATTCTCCTCTCATTTTGGGCACACATACATGTGTGTGTTATGGTTTTCAAGTTGCTGGATCTGGGACTTGGACCACATACTTAGCTATGTAGAGTCCAGCCCACTTAACTAACCTCCATACCACTTGGCTGGCGCCATTATTCATTTTTGTTCAAAGAATTATTTTATTTAACTTTATTTCTCCACTTATTTATTTATTTATTTAAATTTGACCAGAGAGGGATAGGGTGAGAGTGAGAGATGGAGAGATGGGGAGAGAGAGAGAAAGTGAGAAAGCAAACCGCCAGGGATCCAGGACACCAACCCTGGTCGGCCATGTGGCCTTAACCACCACGCCACCAGCCAGCCCCTCCCATTATTCATTTCAAATCAGGTACCAAGCGGCTTTGGGTGTCCCCTGGCCCCTCAGTGGGCTCAGGTGGCCTCTAGGCACAGTACGTGGGTGCTCGTGCGCAGAGCCGCTGTCACTCGGCCAGCAGCAAGGATGAGCTGATCCTGACGTCATGGGGACCGCCTCTCAGGAAGTCTCTTGGTGTTGCTTCGTTAGAGTGAGGGGCATCTGGACGCTGGCCACGTGGCCCAGGGTGGGGCTTTCCCTGCAGGGAGACCTAACCAGCAACCTGACCCCTGAGTGGACCTCCTCCGGCACTCCCGGGGAGTCCAGAGCTCATGGACTCCCCACCACGGTAGAGACCCAGGTCCTAAAACTGTGGTGCCCTTTGCCTGGAGTGGACTTTGGACCAAGGGTGTGGCCCTGCTTGTCTCTGCAGCTGCCTTTTGTATGTATTTATGGATATTATTCCTCACTTGAACAAACTTTTGAAACAAGTAATCCTGAGCTTAAAGCCTTTGTCACTGAGGTTACTTTTTAAATTGGCACCTTTTTGCTATTTTGTAAGCACTATGGTACACTCATCAGTGACACATACCTGAATTCAATTCTAGGTTTCTTTTTTTAGAACATTTTTTCCAGCAGGTGCATGCACTTGCCAGAGAGACAGAGGGAGGGAAGTGAGAAAGCACCCGTAGGGCATGGTCGCACACAGTTCCTTCTCCACCTGTCTCTCCTTGTGGATCGGGGGCATGCGCACAGACCCACCGGGCACACCAGCAGGTCTGGGACTTGAAGCAGAGCTGGGCGTGTAGGGTGCAGCTGCCTTAGCTTCCATGCCCCTCCTGGTTCCCAGAAAGGCTTTCTGCATTCTTTGCTAGCACAGAGAGATGGTCTTTTTCTCCTCAGTCCCTGGTTTTGGAATCTGCTCTTGGAGTAGAGCAGCTGTGGACAGACAGCTTGATTTCTCAGCATCCTGTGTGGTTTAAACCAACCGTGGTAGTAAGAGTGACCCCGTCTGAGGAGTGCTGAGGCATGTAGTCGACCGTGGTTTGAGTCCCAGACCCGGTGGCTTAAACTCATGCCAGGCACGTGTGTCTATGTGTACCCAAGATCTCAAGAGGAGAATGGAGGAGAAGGGATTGGGGTGTGGCCATCTCCTCTGGATGTGATTTCTCTCTTTCTGTCTGTCTCTTCCTACTTTTTTTTTTTTAGAGGTTTTTGCTGTAGGGCGGGTGTGCTCGCCAGACAGAGACAGACAGAAAGTGAGAAATCACCCCCCAGGGAGGATGGCCACACTGCAGTACCTTCTCCTCCATTCTCCTCTCGGGATCTTGGGCATGCACGCACACGAACCCGGCGTGAGTTTTAAGCCACCGGGTCCGGGACTCAAACTGTGGTTGAGTACATGGGAGTCCAGCGACATAGCCACTACACCAACTGCTGGTCCCTCTGTCTCTCTCTTTCTGACAAGCACGTGCACTCTATGGCAAAAACTTCTCAAAAAAAATAAAAAGGATGGTGGGCTCCCACATGGCCAACCGCAGTTTCAGTCCTGGACCCGGCAGTTGGCTTCTCACTCACTCTTTCTCACTCTCACTCTGTCCTTCTCTGGCCAAATTTAAATAAATAAATAAAGTTAAATAAAAATTAATTCTTTAAAAAATATGTTAAAGGTCAGTGTTTAGTTTTGCTCTTGATTTACAGTTCAGTACTCGTACATGCTGTTGATCTTCGTCTGCCCTCACGCACTGCTCTTGGGCCCTTCTGCAGGTGATGTGGAACACGGCTGTCCACTCCGAGTTCATGCATGACCATGTTGATTATGGGTTTCAGAGCTGTGAGGGGAGATTCAGCTGGCGGTGAGTGACTGCCAGAGGGCTTGGTCTACGAACATCGAGGTGGTTCTCACAGGGAGGCAGACTTGGGACTCGTGGCTACACTGTGCTCCCGGGTGAGCGTGCGGCGTGGCGGCCATCCGCGCAGGCACCGTGCCATGCAGCCGTCGCCACCATCCAGTCTAGAACACTCCTGTCACCCCTGCTGGAACCTCTGCCCATTCAGCAAGACCCCTCTCGTCCTCCCCTGCCGGGGCCTCCACCTACCCATCTCCACGAGCACCTTGTCCCAGCACGTCATAGAAGGGAGACCTTACGGTATTTGTGTTGTGTCTTGCCCACTTAGCATGTTTTTGAGGCTTTTCCGCATTAATGCACATATCGAAGTCTCACTCCTCTCAAGGCGGAACGCTGCATCTGGCCTGCTGTCTGTGTGTCCGCGGGCTCTCAGGCTGTCCCCACTGGTGTTGGAGCAGTGCTGCTGAGCATGACCAGCCAGAGCGTCTCCGGCTGCTCCCAGTCCTGCGGAGGGGACACCTGGCGGTGGGGTTGCTAGGTCAGATGTCTTTCTGGGCTTTTTTAATAAAAATTTTTAAGAATTATTTTTTATTTAACTGTATTATTAATAATTATTTTCCAGCTTGATCAGAGAGAGGAAAAGTAAGGAAGTAAGCCACCAGATCTGGGACTTGAACTGCAGTCAGCCGTGTAGGAGTCCAGCGCCTTTAACTACCACGCCATGCTGGCCCCCAGCTTTATCTTTTTAAAGAATGGCTGTAAAGTTTGTGAAGCCCTAAATTTTAAATAAATTTTATCAAGTTGATTCATTTACTTGAGAGGTCTTTATTAAGTGGCCACCACGCCTTGAGCACTGTCCCAGAGCTACTGTGCAGGAAGGGGACGGCACCTTGGGGTGGGCACGGCCGTGTAGGGGTGGCAGGAGGTCAGGTCACGGCCGTGTAGGGGGCGGCAGGAGGTCGGGTCACGGCCGTGTAGGGGGCGGCAGGAGCACGGGGCTCGGCCGTGTATGGGGCAGGAGGAGCATGGGGCACGGCCGTGTACGGGGAGGCAGGAGGTCGAGGCACAGCCGTGTATGGGGAGGCAGGCAGACAGGGCATGGCCCTGTGTGTAGGGAGGCTTCTTCCCTCCGATCAACCCTTGAGTCTATGCTCGGAGGTCCAGGGAAGTTGCTGCCCGCTGGCTAACCAAGGGGTAGGTCCCGTGTCTGAGCCCTGACTCTGGTTTCATTGTAGTGTCATAAAGGAGAAGCGGGATGCCTATGTGAGCCGCCTGAACACCATCTATCAAAACAACCTAACCAAGGTACGTGCGCTGCGTCCCATCGTGGGAAGGAGCTGCCGTCTGCAGGAGTGTGCAGCCAAGTCTGGCAGCTTTGGGTGTAGCCTTCCCTGTTTACATGGCTTTGTTTGCAGTGAGCACTTCCAAAGTTTGCAGTCAGAGTGGGAGCCCGCTGGGAGTCTCTCCCTGACGGTGCAGCAGGCCTGGCCTCCCCTTGTTTCAGAATCCCACCACGTGCGGCCCTCACGGGCATGCAGTGCGCCAGCTTAGGGGTCCCAGCCAGGAGCGCTCTGGAGGAAGAGTTGCCACTGTCACTGCTCAGAACAGCCTCAGCCATGGTGGCTGGGTCTGCTCTGGGAACCGAGTAAAGACCCAGAAGGAGCTTTTCATGGATAAGGTCCAACCCAGAGAACGGGGTAAAGGGCGTTTGCCTTCAGCAAAGACGAGCCCATGGTGCCCCGGAGGCCTTTTCTGCCTTTGTGTGTGACATCACGCTCCTACCCAGAGCCACGCTGGCGACACTGACAGCTGGCTGTCATCCACCTCTTTTTTCCCATGCGTGAATATCCCGCCCGTCCTTTCCCTGCAGTTGCTAAGGTTTCCTCATGGCTTACGTCACACTTGGGTTGGTGGGTCCCGGTGCCGTCTGGGCCCCTGCAGCCGCGTCAGTGCAGTCGGCACAGTGACGGCGTCTGTGCATGCCTGACCTCTGTACACTCACTAGCTCCTGAGCTTTAGTCGTGGGCTGCTCGCTCTCTGGGGAGGGACTCAGACAGAAGAGGGGAGCACCCTGGGGTGATGCTGCAGTACCTTCTCCATTCTCCTCATGGGGTTTCGGGCCGCACACACGCGTGACCACTGTCTTTCTTATACTGCCAGGTCTAGGACCTGGACTGACCTGCAGGCCAGCGATGGGCTTGCAGCGCCTCAGTCAGCACGCTGTCTCCTGGCCCCACCTCGTAACGCTTTAGTTGCTTTCTTTGTGAGGGTGCGGGGAATGTGCCCCTAACGGGGTCTT